ATCCATCATCCATCATCCATCATCCATCATCCATCATCCATCATCCATCATCCATCATCCATCATCCATCATCCATCATCCATCATCCATCTCAGTACCTTGTGATCCCATTTTGTTTTGTCATTGTGTTTTCAGAGTAGACAGATTAGTGAACAAAGACTGTGTTTGTGTGGAATCACAATCTTTCAGGCAACCCCATTTGAATTCAGGGCGACCTCACGTGGGGTAGCGACCCCAAGGTTGAAAAACACTGGCTTAACGTCTTTGGTTACACGAGTGTTATAACCTACTCACAGTGCACCACCAGTCTGTTGCTGATTCTGCGGGGGACTGGGGAAGTCGGATGCCACACCAGACAGTCCAGCTTCTTGCCGTTCATGTTCCTCAGTGGATGCAGTGAGTACTGCGAGGAGACGGCGCCATTGGCCATGGAGCGGTTGGAGGATTGCCCGTTTAGATCGGTGTCCCACGAGAGGCGGGGAGGCGGACGGGCTATGGACCGGCAGGCCGCTGCCTGACGGTAGGACTGACCCTCCTCCAGAATCACCGGATCCAGGGTGGAGATGGGAATGGCTGCAGGGAGAGGTCAAATCAAAATACAGAATACGCCGTTTGGTAAAAGCGTATGCATGGATGTATTCAGTATTTTGGGGTAAAATGGGATTACATTTACTGTGAATGAAAGTGAACCACTTGTCATTGTGACACAGCACACCACCTGTCTTTAACCCATCACCAAAGTAAACAGTGACACAGCCAAATGTGACCTCTGTCTTTAACCCATCACCAAAGTGGGCAGCTTTAAGCGCCTGGGGAGCAGTGTGTGGGGACGCTCAGAGCCTGGAACCTGAAGGCTTCCTGACCCAGGTCTGCTTCCTTAACCACTAGGCCACCACGACTCCTGATCCACATCATCATGTAGTGGTTATCATGCCGGCTTACACATCTGCCTTACACACACAATGTCCTGTGTTCGAGCCCCAGATGAACCGTATACTTGGCGCCCCCAAGGGGCAGACCATTGCAGCAGATGTGCTGTTAACACAAACGCTTCCTCAATGTGATATCCAAAATATTTTATTATTTTATTATTATAATTTTATTATTATAATTGTGTAATACTACTGCTGATCAGTAGTTTTCTACATGTGCTTTGTTTTCAGTTACTATGAATGTTCTCTTTGAGGTTCAGTTCATCATTACCACTGCCCTGGATACAAGGTCAGCTACGTTTGTTTTTGGTTTTTCCACAGTAGCCCACGGACATTGGCGAGGAACTCACTCCATACGACGAGTGAAATCTCCGTGTCAAAGTTGCCGGAGGGGAAGGTGCTGATGCGGCAGATATAGTTTCCCTCATCTGAGATCTCGGTGTTCATGATCACCAGAGCTGAATCCATTGTGGGTTCACTGCTCTTAAATCGGGCCCGCTGAGACCACGTGCCAAATGCTGCAGACAGAGAGAGGCAGAAAGAAAGAACGGAGTCAGCTCGGTGTTCCACATGCTGCTGCTGGAAGTCATTAAAGGATTAATGGGAGTTCTACTTTTAACATGACAAATTGTCAAGACATGTATTGTACTAATTAACTTTTATTTTTTTCACACATTTTTGAATCAATATCTCAAAAATCTTGACATAATGTGAATATTGTATAGCCTAGACTTGGGCGGATATGGCCCGTTTGCCATTTTAATCCGGCCCGCCAAACTTGTCCGTTACTATTTCTATTACTATTAATTTCTATTATCATTATACTAAACTTGTCCGTTACTATTACTATTACTATTCATTTCTATTATCATTATACTTCTGCCCACATTTCCCCTAAAAGGCTAAAAGCATTTTAGCATTTTATCCTTTATGCATGACCTTTACATGTCATTTATCTTCAGATTTTAGAAATCATTGTGGCCCACGGGTCAAAAAGTTTGCCCGTGCCTGGCATAGCCTGTAAAAGCTGATACTGCAGTTAAAATAGACTAAAAATAGACTTTAACCATGTGACAGACTTTAAGGATGTAAACACTGGTTCTTTCTGTCACTTTCTTTTTCTACATCCCTTTTATTCACATCCACAGCTGAAGCTCACAGCCTTGTAAATCTCAGAAGTACAAAAATCACGTAGCTAGTGACTCCACTTAACATATCCACAGTGAAAGGTCTGCTCCCTGTGAGTCTGTGTAACTGTGAATAAAGGGGCGGGGGGGTTGACCCCAGCATGCGGACTGACCGGTCTGTCCGTTCACGTGGTGTGCAATGATGATCTGTTCCTTGGAGGCGTCGGGTTTCTCCTTGTACCAGGTAACCTGCACCACAACCACGCTGCTGTCACTCGGCTGGAAGCGACAGGGCAGGACAGTCTCCTTTTCTGTCAGGGAGCGTATTGGGTTGTCTTTAGGGAGTCCCACAAATTCTGCCTGGATCACTGTCAGCAAAAGTTAGAATTAGTCAGTGATTATTAGCGGCTGTCCAACTTAGAGATGACCGCTGAGCTTAGTTTAACACAGTGTTTCCCAAACCTTTTTTCTGGGGACCCATATTTTAAAAGTCACAAACCTTCACAACACAAGTCAATAGACATTATTCATAAATCACAAATTAAAGGTGTACTTGACCATTATTGAACATTAATGAGGATATGTTATTGTTGACCGAGTGATATCTGAACAGTAAGTATTACTAAATTAAGTTTTAAACAATGAAAAACAGTAATTGACCCAGCAAAACAGGTAACATAAGTAACTTTTTTAAACATTAAATGTAGCCCATTTGTTCTTCTTTTCAACATTCAATTGAATTAGCAATATCGGAACAAAATAGTCAATAAAATAATTACAAAAAGAAAAAAATAATCAGAGACATGACCACAGGTGGAGCTTTTAAACTGGCAGCTATTTTGAGGTTGGATGCAGACAGCTGTTGCGATGAACTCCTGGGAAACATGATGCGAGACGAACCAAAAAAAAAAATCTCTTGTGACCCACCTGAGGGTCCCAACCTAGTCTTTGGGAAACAATGGTTAAACAGTTTTGGTTCCTATAAAAGTGATGTTTTATTCAACAAAGGGAATTAAATGTACAAAAGGGACAAATGAGGATATATCAAAATGAAATTCCAATTACAAAGGTTATGCACCCTTTGGTGGGGAGGGTCCCTACTTTGAGAACCACTGGGCTTTCCTCTGTACATGTCCATTAAATGACTGTATCCAGAGGAGAATTCGCAGCATTTACATGTGTGAGAAAATAGAAAACATCACTACATTAAAGCAGGACACATTTCACACTTGAAAAAATACATTAGTTCTATAAAATGTTGAAGATACTTTAATGGCGACAAAGGGGTTCTACAGCTACATAAACGTGAACGCATGCATTCTACTCGGCAGGTCAACGCATCCCAACCTGATCAGACATTGTGTCTGAATCTGCAGAACACAGATGTGACACTGTAACCTTTGACCTTAGGTACATTCTATGACAGGAGTCATAAGACTTAACCTTTCACTCAGACAAGGGCTTGGAGGAAGTTTCTCATTTTACTACACATGTTTGACCTGACAAATATGTCTCTGTTGACCCTTCATGTTCAAACCTAAGCCATGAGCAACCTGTCTAGAATGACTTAAGGTCAACAGCTCAACCTCTTGAAGTGTCATCTTTTCGGTGTCTACAAAAGCTTTGTAAGGATGCAATTATAAAGACAATTATGAGGAAATGGAATTATTCACGATCAAGATGTACCAGTACACAAAGTCCAGTAATGATGCTAACAACAATTGTAATTGTAATAAAATAATAATTGTAATAATGGTCATTATCATTACCTCATACATTACATACAAGGTGACTGTGCTGTATTGTTTTACATAGAGGACAACAACGGTCGATTTGTCATCGAGGTGCTTCCACGTTGTGACCTAATGACATGTCCTTCATTTTCCCAACTCAAACCAATTCTGCGTGCCAAATCTTATTGACCTAGACCTGGTCACCTTGATAATAGCAAATGCCAAGATGATTTGTTTTATAATCATCTCGGCATCTGGAACATCTTTCTTCTAACTGAAGCTGTGATCTGTGACTTTTGGCTTTGTTTTTTGTATTTTGTGTCAAATTCTTCTAATTCTTCTTCAGCACTGCTGCTGCAGCTGTACCACTGACAATAATCCCTACGATTGTATACTCTAACACAGAGTTACATGGAGCTAATCTAACACAACGAAAAAGAAAGAGTTGAAAACTCTGCCGCTTCCTAATCTACTGACCAGTTTTCAATCACATACAGCAGAGGTTCCCAAACTGGGGGGCGTGCCCTCTTATGGGGCACAGTGCCATTGTATGTTAGGCACAGATGGAATAAATCCAAAAACGTAACACAGCATATTGTCCATATATGAACCACAGGGGGCCCCAGGAGAAAACGTTTGAGAACCACTGACATACTGTATAGTGTCCTTCCCTTGTTATATTTACTTACTCTGCTTTACCCTTCTTTTCCCACACAATGGGATCATAATTTGTAAAATTGGTATTACATTTTTTTTTCTTAACCCTCCACTATTAGCATTTAGGACTGTAAACCTTCAGCGACATGTATTGGCACAACGCTGTACGGAATGCATTAGCACATTAGCATGTAAATGACTCTTAGCAGAGATATTTTCAAATTATGCACTTCAGCTGTGATTTTTCTTTTACTGTTTTATGGGGGAAAAAATAAGATTTTCAGACTTTACTGCATCCTCCCACAGAAATAAGAAGAGTCGTCCTTCAGGTGAGCTGAGCACAAGTGAAGATATGTCACATAACTAGTTGCCCAAGAAGTCTACAAAGAAAAGCAGTGTCTGGAAGGAGCGAGATGTTCAACGGGGGGCCTCACACAGTACCCTTAGGTGTGAGTGTGTGTGTGTGTGTGTCTGGTTTGTGTCACACACTCAAACCGCGACACCAGGAAACAGATATACTTTTGTTTTTCACCTTTGCCCGCTGTCTGTAAAAGCAGATCCTATTTGCCAATCTGATCTAGACCAACAGAAATGTGTCACCTTATCTCCTTTTGTCCTCTGGCAGCGAATAAAAGTTCAAACCCTGAACTGACAATCACACACACTCAGAGTATAACTCAAGAGTTTACTTTTTTTTCCCTGTCCTGGCCCAGAAATACTGTAAAATCAAACATCTTCTTTGGGGCGGTTCTTACAGGTGAAAAGCCGTGTATATGAACTATACTGCATGATAAGGAACGCGTCAGTGTTGCAGGTGAGTGGTGGACTTGTCGAGAGCGTAGCTTCCTGATTACTGTTGACTTGTTGTGATGGACAGTAAACAGCTGGAAGGAATCACAGCAAATCAAACCCCATAAATGAATGGTGTAACAATTTAGAGTTGATGATCGAGTCAAAGCCAGGCATGGGCAAACTAAGGCCCAGGGGCTGGATGCGGCCCATTCAGCTTTCTAATCAGGCCTGCCAAACTTCCAAATTATATAATTTATTCATATTATCATTATACTTCTGCAATACCCACATTTTCCCAATAAATGGCGTGGAAAAGGCTAAAAGTATTTTAGCATTTTAGCCTTTATGCATGACTTTTACATGTCATTTATCTTAGTTCACACGAACGCTCCATCTATCTGCTCCTGACCTGGCCCCCTGGTCAATTGTATTGTAGCTGTGGCCCGCGAGTCAAAAAGTTTGCCCACACCTGATATAAGCTGAGAAACAACACAGTCAGCATATTCACCAGCTGTCCTTCAAATGACCTCTAAAATAATTTTGAGTTATGAGTTGCCTGTTTACCTCTGATTGCGAGGCTGATGAAGACAATGTAGTCTCTTAGAAAGACGATATTCCCGACTAGTTATTACTCATCACTCTCAGCATCTAATTACACAAGTCTTGATTTCTGACTATTATCCTGTATCATCGTCAACATCACCATCATCACTCTGTTTGTAGTGACAGAAGTATTTGGAAAATAACCTGACCTCAAGAATGATCAGTTTAACCTAATTCATTTTTCTCCTACCATTTGTTCAATTTCTGGGTCACGGATCGCCCAGTGGTCACTGGACACAGGTTGACATGTAGAAACATCCATGGGTTCACAGTCAGACTGGTACCAGTGGTCAATTTACAGATTCACAATGTAAAAGGTTTTTTTATTATTATTATGTGAGGAGCCTGGACTCCCACCTTTGACCTTCTAGCTCTGGGCAAGAGCACAAAGGAGGATTCCGAGACAGGAAGGTTACCCTACAGGCTTAAATTGCTCAATAAAGTTTTTCGTTGCTGACGCCCTGATTTTTCCCTCTGTTCAAGTCACTGTCATAATGAAAATATTCATTAACAAATATATTTGTGCAACTGTGGGTATTGTTCTCCTTGAGTTATTTGCCTCACCCTTCACACTCAGTGCTTCCCAACCTTTGTCTTATAGCCACGGTGCATAAAAGAGATTAGAAAAATCCCAGGGCACAACGAGAAACAAAAAGTATGTTATGAAATATACTGACCTTCTTGTCTTAATGCACTTCAAATTTTCTTACTCAGTGTGAAATCTGGGCCTATTTAGTTGAACACAACCCTTGCGTGAATTGAAGAAAAGACACGAGGATCTTCTTCACCAACCTTAAGTCGCTTTTCTTTTAGTTTGTTTAACTATCTGCTGCCACCGAGGTGAAGTGCCTGATACTGTGCCATAGATGAATAAGGGCAAAATATTTGCAGTTAAGAAAAAATAATTTTAAGTGCCAAAGATCTAGAGAATGAGCTTGGTCCTATCTGACAACCTGATGCCCAAATATGTCAGGATTTTTATAATTTTCTTCATGTACTTCAGTTTGACTACATGTCCATTAGTTTCAGACATTGACCAGTTTTGTGGAAGTGAGCATTGGGTCCCTAAACGCTTCGCTTACCAGTTTTCTCTAATTTAGAAATCTTTAATCTTCCTTTGATTGGTTTTGTTCTGTGTCCTGTGGCTATTTATTAGTGTTCAATGTATTAACTAATATATATTTAAAAATTATTCTTAGTCTTAGTTTAAGCCATTGTGTTCAGTTATTATACTGGGTAACAATGCTTTGCACTAAATGAAAGCACTAAGGATTTTTTTAAATAACTCTTTTTTAGAGAAATTGATGTTATTTACTATTTATAATTATTACATTTGTTAATCTTAAGGAAATTATTAACAAACATGTTTTCTGCCCTGTAAAAACCTGTCCAATCTGCGCTAGCTAGCTACATGCTAGCTTAACAAGGAAAGCGCAAACTGCGAAGTCTACACGTTGTCATGCCAAAGTTGCAACTGTCAAACAAGGTGCATTCAGGTACCATCAGACACTTAATAATGTGACAATTATGGCAGTTTATGATTATAAACTACAAGAGTAATTTTATTGTTTTGGAGGTTTTTTTGTTTGTTTGTTTTTTCTTTTTTCCACTCAAATTTATTAAATTAACCTGATGGCCACCACTGTTTTAAATCTGAGGGCATTCTAGCTTAACCTGATGGCCACCACTGTTTTAAATCATCCTGCATCAATTACCATTTCAGCAAACAAAGTAGACGTGTATTTCATGTTTGACTTTTGCCCACTATAATTCACTTAGGAGCTAAAAACAGAGAGCAGAATGACAGGAAACGATTCCTCTTAAAGGAAAAGGATTTGAGGCGGTCCCTAAGTCAGTTCATGTTGCAGCAACTTTACTTTAAGTTTAGTTTTTAGTATTTGCGTCAGCAAAAAGGAAACCACTGTGTCACTGAATCGATGAAATGTTGGGAAATAATTGCATAATTGCTGCCATGGAGACAACATTGTTAGAATCCATTCTTTCATGACGTCAAATGTCACGTTTACTCTTTGATTCTGGGAGTGAAGAGACAAAAAGTAACACATTAAACACAAGTTTTCACCAGTGTGTGTGTTGGTGTGAGAGAGAGAGAGATTTTGTGCGCCCGTGCGTGTACAGGTCGCTGATTCACTAGCTGTTGTGGGAGAATCCACTCACTGTTGTCAGTGATTCGGATGTGATTCATACATTTACCATCAGACCTGATGAGTGTGCTTTTCCAACGTAGGTGTGTGTGTGTGTGTGTGGGATTGCAAACATGCGAGTGTTTGACACCCTCAAGTGTAAACCCCTGTGGAATCTGCCTGTGCTGCATTACTGGGATAACACACCACAGGCACCTAATGAATGTGTCTAATTGAAAGACTCTTTTAGTCATGTCACACACACACACACACCACGTCTTATGAGCATTAAGACCCAACATTCACACACACGGACATTAACCACAGCAGCAGGATGTACACACTTGTCTGGATAAGGTTGGAGGAGGTGAAAAACTGAACAACAGCAACCAGTTCTTCCAGAAATAACAGACGGTGTTTTCTTTAACTGCACCGTTCCATATGTTTGCTTGAACAAAGATGGCCACCTGCCCAGCAGGTTTGGCTCATCTAAAAAAATAACTTGGTTTTTAACCTCACTCACACACACGCGCTTGTTTTTAGGACCAGCTGTTTGTTTGTTTTTTTCTTGACTGTGTGTATGAGGAAGTGTGTGTGTGTGTGTGGAAGAAGCCAAGGAGTGAAATGAATGCAGGACAAAAAAGAGAGGAAACCATAAAACAACAGAGAAGCAGGGCATCTGAAGTGCATCAACATCTCACCCAAGAGCGTCCGGTGCAGGAGAAGCAGGGAGAGTGTGGTCAGCAGAGACTTCATCATCATCCTCATCCTCCTCCTCCTCCTCCTCACTGTTAACTGTTACTGCTGCAGCAAGATGGGACGCTCAGTCCACAGGATGAAGTCCTACAGGAAACACACACATGGAGCACGGAGGCAGAGTCATGTCTGGTACTGCTGCAGGATCTTGGAGATTGTTGTTGTTGTTTTTGTTGTTGTTTTTTAAGTCGCTGTATCCACCCCAGCAAAAGCAAAAAAAATAAATAAAAATAAAATCCTTTCAGATCAGCGACATGTTGGTTTGCTGAGCACCAGCCATGGTGCTTTTCTCCTAGGAAAATAAGAAGGTGCAGCGTTACCTGATTGGATACACCTGTTTAAAGCTCTCACCTTCCTCCCTCTCTCTCTCTCTCTCTCTCTCTCTCTCTCTCTCCCGCCCTTTGTGCACACACCTACCCACACAAGCAGAAGTCACCTTTCTGGTTTGGTGGAGGCAACTTGACAGTTATGTTCTCGCCTTTACTTGCTCTGCTCTGAGGAGAGGCAGGTGAAAAGCAGGCAGGGAGGTTCACTAGACTCTGTCCACAGGACTGGTTAGGGACCGGAGCCAAACCCGGTACCGATTCATGTCCCCGACAAACAGGAGAAAAACAATTTAATCCCCCTGTTTTTGTATTTGTACAGGAACAGTCACACAGAGTGAACCTGGTGAGCTCCACAGCAACACAGTGCGGTGATTGGTTGAAGAGTGAAGATAACGTAATTAACACAGAAAACTGAAAGTTTTGGTTGATAATTAGACATTTTATTTTAAATTTTTCTGCATATACAAATACATAAATGTACAAAATAAAGCTAATTACTGAATGCAATATACCAAGGTATGCTTAAACACAGCACTGATCAGTTTGTGGACCCCTTTATTTTGTTTGGGCGGACAAGGCGGCTGCAGATAATACAAACATAGACGAAACACTGCCTTCTTGTGGTAAACATAAGTACAGTTGAGATCGAAAATGGCTTCACGGAGAAAAAGATGGCGCGAGATTATTTTTACGTATATCAATGTAGCCAGTATTCTACACAAAATTTGTCATTTTAACTTTTGTCTCATTTTAAACTTGAGCTAACATTTACACTCGACCTTAATTAAATATCAATACAAAACAATAATAAAATAAGAGAAAAATCCGACAAGAGGGAGTACAGGATCAGAAGTACAAATTATACAGTACGAGTGATTAAGTTGTTTACAGTTTAACCAAAAATTCCCTCAAAAATCCGGTTTAATTAAGGAAATAATATAACGATGTAAAATATATAATACTGACTAATCTCTTTATTTAACATTAAAAATAAAAAATAAATCAAGCCTATCTCATGCTTGTAAACATATATATATATTTAAAAATGTATATATGTCCTTAAAGAATTTAATTTTTTACATGAATTGACAAAAATATATTCTTTGATTTTATTTGTGAGATCAGAACTCATAACTAAATAATTGTTTTTTAGCAAATGTGACAGATGAGAGTAAAAAAATTACAACCTTGTGCCCAACTTCCCTCTTTCTCTCTGATCTGTCTCAACTTCCCACAATATTCTAAAAACAATAAAAGAGAAGTGGTCACCGGTTCTAACAGTTCTACATTCTCATGAAATTCTAAGTGAAAAATAATATTCTGTTTATTTTTTAAATACAAAAGGAAAAAAAGGACGTCGGTCACTTCACATCCCTGGACTTCTTCATGCCGATGACCTCATAGGTGTCCTGAACACGAGGAGTCAAGTCCTAACAGAGAGGTAGAAAAAAATTAAATTATATATATATATATACTACTGTTCAAAAGTTTGGGGTCACCCAGACAATTTTGTGTTTTCCATTAAAGTCACACTTTTATTTACCACCATGAGTTGTAAAATGAATAGAAAATATAGTAAAGACATTGACAAGGTTAGAAATAATGATTTGTATTTGAAATAATATTTTTTTTCCTTCAAACTTTGCTTTCGTCAAAGAATCCTCCATTTGCAG